CTCATGGCCATTTTTGTGAGGTCTTTAACCTTATCAAATCATCCAACATAGTCTATCCAGAGAAACTGAGGAATCTGCAGACACAACATTAGAAATATGTAAGCAGATCTTACCAGTTAACCTGGAACACAGGGCATTGTTACTGAAACAAAGCTGCTCTTGACCTGCTGCTTTGTAGGACTACAGTAATGGAGGGATTTGGAGGCTGAACTCGGCTCTGTGACACTTTTTGTAGTGAAATGATGAAAGCTGTGTCTCAGATGGAGTGGATGTTAGTCCAACACCTCATACATTATCTCTGCTGCTCTCAGTTGATGTGCACATGAATGATTTGTGTTTCCTCTGCAGGTGAAGGTAGAAAGTGTGAATTCAGCAGCATGGATAAGAGTGAGGACAGAGAGGAGGGAGTCCCTCCCTCTAAAACCACTCTGTGTGGGGAACATGAGAGCCAGATCAAAGCACAGAGGTGAGATGACCATCTATAACTGTCCATGACCCTTCTCCATGTCACAGCTCATCACTCACATCACTGCTCCATCATTATTCACAGGAACCAACCTGGACCTCCACCCAGATCTTTGTCCTTAGAGAGTGACGCGTCTAAAGGTCGTCCCATTTATTTTAAAGTCCAGCCTGTGTCTGCTGCAGAGAGGTGAGCTGTTAGTAACATAAACCGATGTCAGTTTGGTGTCTGATTTAAATGATTTTGATGTTTCCTGGTTCCTAAAATCCATCTCAGTGGGAGAGCAGTGTCTCAAAGGTTAAACAGGTTCAGGTGTAACTGTCATTTTATCAGGTCCCCTCCAACTACCGACCATTAACCTGCCTCAGCACCATGTGGAAGCTCCTGTCAGGCATCATAGTGGCTAAGATGAACAGGTACATGGGTCAATACATGAGCGGGGCACAGACAGGGATGGGCAAGAATACCAGAAGCACAAAACACCAGCTACTGGCAGATCGAGCAGTCAGCCGAGACTGCAGGACCAGATTGACCAACCTGTGCACTGCCTGGATTGATTACAAGAAGGCCTATGACGCAATGTCCCACACCTGGATCCTGGAATTCCTAGAACTATATAAGATCAACAGGACCCTGAGAGCCTTCATTGGGAACTCAATGGGTATGTGGCGGACAACCCTGGAGGTCAACCTCAAGCCCATAGCACAAGTCACCATCAAGTGCGGGATCTACCAAGGAGATGCTCTGTCCCCACTGCTGTTCTGCATAGGCCT